CAATCAGAAAGTGACGGACCTTGACCTTGGAGTTCAGTTCGAATAGTTTTGGATGGTTTCCTTGGTTTGTTTTCTACCATCCGCACTATCCAGCTGAACAATATGTTTGCATTTCCTCTTGCGTCCACATCTTGGGAGGTTGGCTACAGTCCTATGAACCTCGTACTTTCTTAAAATAATGTTGTGATCAGATTAACGCAAAGTTGTTTTTGGGTGTTGTGTCCTTTACATGGATGTCTATAATGTTCTTTCTGAACTCTTTGGACAGCTCTCACCTTTGCTTTCTCTACTGCATGTTTGGTGGGGTTCACACAATACCAATATTTGTTTCCACATTTTTTTATCTTCAAGTTTACAAACGTGGCCTCATATAAAAAAAATTTGCAAAGCAACAATGGCCACTGACAGCATAATGAGCCATGTCAGATGATAATCTGAAAATCATTTCCAACTTTCTACTTTTTTAAACTCGAGTAAACTTCTGCACTGAATGAGGTTTGTGTTAAGATAAGTATATCCCGTTTTTCCGTGGTTGCTTGCTGGCGATGGAATGCTGGCTTGTTTACAGCCTTAAGGAGAACTGTGACTCTGATTGCACTTGGGAGTGAAGTCAGGGGATGCCTCTGTTAGCCAAACATCCTGTTGCCCTGTTTAAATACACTGCATTGTGTGGTATTACCGTAAGTGTGTGAAAAACACAGGAAATGCATGAGGGTCATCTGCATTTGTGAGATGAGAAAGCAGGCTGACTTCCTGAACTCTAAATACTCCAAAGGATAAAGGCATGCAAGTAGGGAAATTCATGGTCATAGCTTTTTTCTGCTCTATTTCAAACAAAGGACACTTTATTTGGACTTGTAAGCTTGATCAATGGTAAATGGTAGTCTGAGTTAAAATAGAAAAATGTGAAGAAGCCTCAGTTTGTACCAGTCAGTCATCTGTAGTTTCAGTGACCAAAATGTGTGAAAAGGAGGAGCATGTTATGCTCACATAAAGCTCAAGTAAGTATTTGGGAAAGAAAATAACACCTAAAGACCATTTCACCTTTGCTCTTGGACAGTCAGCTGCAGCAAATAGCTCAGGTAACAACAACATCAACAAACTAATATGTCAGAAAGGAAGTCCACAATGCGTGTCTGGTTGCACATAAGGTTGTGCATGCAAGAGACATGAGGGGTGTTTTATATGGCTTCAACGTAAGGCTGAGGTAAAAGCTGTATGAAAGCCAGAGAAATACAAAGAAACTTCTCACACAACATGCAGTCACTATGACAACCACACAGAATCATTTAGCCTGATCTCTTGCCTTTCTGCACAGCACAGAAACCCAGAAGCATTTAGGTCTTACACAACCAAACTACAGATTCACGCTGCAGGGCTTTTAACATATCTGCAAATAAGGTTTATAGATTCATTCATGAATTTTCAGAGTGACTTCCAAGGCAGTTGTATTTTTAAATGTGCTCTAAGTGAGTGTTTAAGCTGACAAGCTGGGCAGCTTTTATTGTTAATAGAGCTCCATGTTGTAGTCACTGACGCTAAAAAGAATTACAAGTGAAAATTCTGTTTGCAGGTTTTAGTGAAAGGTACTTGTTGCAAAGTATGAAATGAAGCAGTAAAAAGGTTATCTTGAACTAAATCAAACAGTGCTGGGTTTTTTTTTTTTAAGTTAACTCCTGTAGGTTTACAGATACATAAATATTAATTTCTAAAATGTGGGTACACACTCAGGTGGCACAGTTCAGAGCTGTTGCATCTCAGCAAGAAGGTCGCCAGATCGAATCCCGGCCGGGGGCCTTTCTGGGTGGAGTTTTGCATGTTCTCTCCGTGCATGCGTGGGTTTTTGTCCGGGTACTCCTGTTTCCTCCCACAGACCAAAAACATGCATGTTAGTCTGATTGGTAACTCTAAATTGTCCCTAGGTGGGAGTCAGAGAATGAATAGTTGTCTCATTTGTCTCTATGTGTCTCTGTGATGGACTGGAGAGAAGCGGGTAAAGATAATGGATGGGTGGTGGATGGGTACACACTCAATGGAAACAAAACACTTTTATCTGCATATTTTACTCAACAAATCTTAGCATAAATATGTATCAATATATATTGTCAGATGTATTGACACTAAAGTGCTCTTCCAAGGACATTGTCATCATTGACCAGTGGTGATTTTAGCCTCTTTTTTGGGGGGTGCTCAAGCACCCCTAAATTTTAACTCAGCACCCCTGAAAAATAAAGTTATTATTATTATTATTATTATTTGTCAGTTCTGGGTTTGGGTTCTGTTTATTACATTTATGACTCAATGCAACAAAATAAACAAATTTAAAAGGTAACAGATCATTGAAATACTTGGTTGCTGAATGTCCGGCCCCTGAGCTGCTGGCTTTCAGTAACTGTGGCCCCCTGAGCAGTTGAGCTGATTTAGAGGATGGAATACAGTTTATTATCCTGATGCATGCTCAATAATCCATCCATCCATTATCTTTACCCACTTCTTTCATTTTGGGTATTTTGGGTCACGGGGGTCGCCGGTGCCCATGTCCAGCAATCACTGTGCGAGGGGTGGGGTACACCCTGGACAGGTCGCAAGTCCATCACAGGGCCACATAGAGACAAACAACCATTCACTCTCTCACTCACACCTAGGGACAATTTAGAGTTACCAATCAGCCTAACATGCATGTTTTTGGTCTGTGGGAGGAAACTGGAGTACCCAGAGAAAACCCACGCATGCACGGAGAGAACATGCAAACTCCACCCAGAGAGGCCCCCGGACCGGGGTTTGAACCAAGGACCTGCTCGCTGAAAGGCAGCAGCTCTACCAGTTGTGCCACTGTGCGCCCACTCAATAATCCAGGTAAAAAAATCTAAACAAGTTAAATCTGGTCCTCTGGACATTCAAAAAACAAACAAACAAAATAAAAATAACTGAGGAAGTCTTTCGGATGAAAGACGAAACGTTTCTACATTTGTTTTGTTTTTTGAATGTCCAGAGGACCAGATTTAACTTGTTTAGAATACAGTTTATTCCATTTCCAAAACCTAAACTGAGTCTGGAAAAATGTAAAAGATGGATAAAGCCCTGCAGCTAACCTCATGAGCAGATGACTACAACAGTGATAAACAGGAAGTACCACATGTTCATCTGTACAAAGGTAACTGCAAACAAATCCCCCATTTTCTGTCATATTACATTGTATGTTTAATCGTTAAATTCAAGGTTAATGCTTAAAGCTAGTGGTGTTTTGTATGTTTTAAATGTAGATATAGTTATGTTGTGACTTCTGGTTGCATAAATTTAGTCTTTATTTGTTATGATCAGTTAACACTAAACTGATTTTGTACAAAGCCTTTATTAGGCTGTGTAATGTAAAGCAGAGCGCTACGTCTGTAGCATCTTAGCTAGCACATCTGTATTGCACACCACTAGCTTAGCTTAGTGCTACTTCTTGTTGTGCCGAGCTCCCTAAAATAGTTCTTAAATCAAGTGTTTACTTATGTAGGTAAACGTAGATGTTTAACAACCGTTAATATACACCAGAATGTAGGAAATGACATTACTTTATTCACAATTTTTTGGGGAAGGACCCCCAGACCCCCCCATCAGTGTGTCCCCCGCACATTATGAATGCTTGTGACGCCAATGGCCACCACGTTGTTCAAGCCAAGAGACATTAGGAGCTAAGCACCCCAAAGGTCAGACCCTAGAATTGCCCATCATTGACCCATTGTCAGTCACTCCGGCTGTTTCCATAAGTAAACAAAAAAATGTTATATGGTAGATATTCACAAATTTTGCTCACAAATTTTTAATTTAAGGACAATTAACTATCAGCATGAGGAAAAAAAGACTGGATTTTTCAACTTTATGATTTTTTTTTAACTGGACATTGCAATGAGTCCCTTTAATATTTTTCTGTTACAATTACTGAAATTTCACAAACCAACTTTCCCCTCAGTTAGATAATTTGCAATTAAAAAATTAGCTCCTAATTAATGTTGGTTTCTCAGCCTTTCATTTCACATCGTTGCATGAAAAGAAATGCAAGAGATGGAAATTGTTTAGCTAACAGTGAACGTGTCTGATGGAAATCCACTTGCTGCGGCTGTATACATGTATAGCATCTAATTTTGACAATAAATTCAAGACATTAGTGGAATACGACAACAGCACTTCATGAAAGAACAGGGTGAAATTGTTAATGGCAGAGTGCATTGTCCACCGCCCTCCCTCCACATTATTTTCTTCTTCGCGTGGTATCACACAGACGCTTCTCTCTTGTATCAATGCGTGATTGAAGGAAACTTCTTTTGGGAAGTGCAGGGACTACTTTACGTGTCCCTGCACGTCAGTTTGGTTAAAATGCCATGTACGGATACCGAGGAGCATAAATTATTAGAAAGCATGCGACTGCTTAACTAAATAGAGAAAATTACGATCTAGGGGAGTTTATTTTATTCCAAAAGCAGCGTGTTTTCTCTACGTCGCGGAAGGATTTGATTTTCTGAACCGAGGGGCCACACATCCGCCCAGTTTTCCGACGTTTCATTCCGCCCCCCCTCTCTGAGTTGAAAATGGACTTCGATAAAACCAGATGTCCTCCAACTTCTCAAGGAAACTACACTCCTGTGTATTTTTTCGCTTTACCCGTCAGCATAAAAAACTGAAAACTGTTTCTTCGGTTTTGGTTTGCCTTTATCTTTTTTGGACCGCGAATTTCTCGGACACGTTGACGCTGCACGAGCGCTTTTTCAAGCGTTGTCCTGGACGTAAAGTTGGCGAATGGATGCTCGGCGTACATAACCTGCCGAACGTTACCGTCTGTAACAATATCTAAAACGTTATTTGGAGGATTCGTATACATTTTTTTGCAAAGCGAGGACCTGCGTTTGTTGACGGGATGATGATGGTACAGTTGGCTCAGTTGTTCTCGGATTATACTTCCAGGGAGGATAAAATGAATCAACGGTTGTCATTCGTCCTCGCTGCTTAACGCCAGCAGAGCTAAAACTAGCTTCACTTCGGTGTTCGCAGGAACGCTTGAGTTAGGCATGCCTCTTTCTACAACGATTACCAACTCTCCTGAACGAGAATAAACGCTGTTTGCAAAGGAAAATGGTGATTTTTCTGGCATTTTATCCCGCCGTCGCTGCGTCGTCGATGCTATTGCTAGGGCTTGGATCCCCGTGAGGAAATAAAATGAGTGAAGATTCAACGAACCCAAACAACGAGTGAGTACTGTTCATTTGGACATGTTTCACTAATAATCACTAATAATCTCTAATAATCTCTAATAACACATTCAAGATGGACTTTCAATGAGTGCTTCTCTTATCTGTGGGTATTTAACATTAGCCTACGCTTTGCATTATGTTTCTAACCATGCTAAGGGTTTCGTTATTGTACTCTGTTTTTATTTACACCCATAACAGACATCTTGTCGTTTATTTGTAAGCTAATAGAAGGTATTTACTTCACATAAAAGTCGATATTTAACAGTCAAAGTGTACAATAATAGCACGGTTTTAATATCTCGTCATATTTGGTTATTAAGGCATAGCTAACTTACATATATATATGCTTAGCAAATTCACATTAGGCCACTGGTTGTATTGTAGTTGTTATTTTTGCTTTTGTTTACACTTTGTAGAAAAATTATAACCTCATTGCACAGATTAGGATTGGTCAAACCCCCAGTTGAAGGTCCAGGTACGGTTTAAAACGTATTTTTATATGCTTATGTGCTCAGTACATCATGATCAGTTGATATTTTGACAGTGTCCGCCATGATTTCGGCACGAAAGCACGGGTTAAAAAAAAAATTGTGCGCTTTTATGTTCCGGTCCAGCTTTTATTCTCGTTTTTATTCAGAGATCAAGCTCTTTCTTTGTGCGTGTTGCGACATCGAAGAAGCGACGAGGCCATTTTTTTTTTCTCAATCACACACATTTACATATCACAATCCCCATTCATAAAAAAAAAAAAAAAACGCGCTCGCATTCACGCCCTAATCCAGCACAAAGCCGCGGAACCGTAAAGTGTTGTGCTTTTTAGTGCACGCTCTTTTTTTTTTAAGTATTGTTTTGTGGTGTTTTAATAAGGCTCCCCCCTCCTCCTCCCCCGTGTGAGTCCTTGTTGACTGTCAGTGAGAAATATCTGCTTCGGGAGGTGCTGCGGTCACATGATCCCCTCCATTCATAAAGTACCTGCCTGCCCATTCACAGCACTGTACACTGTTTCGCATTGCACCGATGAACACACAACGAGCCCATTTTCTCTAAATGCTGTACCATCCTGCACAGTCGAGCACAAGCACCACTGCGAACCTTTTCTTTTGCTCTGATCTGCCATTTTAAGAAACAAATATCTCCCGTATTTCCAAGGATTTTCTTCAGTAATGCATTTGTCACGTATTGGAAGTTAAATGACTTTGCAAAGTCATTTTCTGCTATTATGTTTTTTTTTCCTCTATTCCCTATGTCTGGCCTTGTGAGGTTGGCTGATTTAATGCATGGGGTTTTGTCCTTGACGTGCACTTGTCTGTTCTTATGTAACATATTTCATGCAGTTCTTTTTCCTCATATCAAGCCAGGCCAGCTTGAGAAAAATTAAACCTCTTCTATGTATCATTGAGGTGGAATTTTATCTGAACTTATTGGTGCTCATAGTTGTGTAACATCCTTATTTGATGGTTGAGTAAAAAATTTAAACCCTCTGATTTATTTGTTGATATCCACTGTCCAAGGAGAAAAAAGTGTAAGCATTTTTTTTTTTTCTCGACTTGATGTGTCTCTTCAGAGTAATTTCAAGGACCCTGGGCCCCATTTTAGAAACGACTACCATCGGCCTACATATTATCAGTGATGTTTAAACTACAGGGCTCGGTTTGCTTCACACAGCAACAGCAGCAGCTAAGATAATGAAGTGGTCTGAACATTGTTGCTATGATTCCACTGCTTTTCTGCCAGTTCTATGATTCATGGTATTGAAGTGAACAGAATACTAAGAGCCTGAACTGCAGTTCTGAAACAAAGATCAGATACCTGTGCTCTTTTCAAGCACTGAGGATAATGGTTAAGATGTACTCGTTTTTATTTTTAACACACCCTTTTTCCTTTGTGTTGTTCAGCTGACTTTTGTTGAAAAGGTACATTTTGTTCCTGGATGAATCAGTTGGTCAATAAAGCAAAAATGCTAATTCTTTAATGTTTGTCTAAGTGGTGATTATTTAAGTCTACTAACATGATTAAGGAAACACACTGTTTTCTGTTTAGCTTGTATTTTTGCATTTAAAATCTCTGCATGATTTGATCAGAGATAACGCTCTCATGTACTTTTGTTTGAATGGTAAGACAAGCTTTAAGCACACAACACACCCTCCATTGAGAACATGTTACTTGGCCTTGATGCAGTCGTGTTCACAAGGCTAAAATGACAAGAGCGCAGCCTAAAGCCTTGTGAGATTTTGGTTTACATTGTGCCTGGTGTGCGGGGAGCAGTATGAGGCAAGGTTTGTGTGAATGTTGTACGCTTGATGGGAGAAATTTATAAAACTTTGTTCAAGCAGTGTTGTTGTCATTGTCAGCTGAAATGTGATCTTAAAGGTTTTTGTTTTCAACTTGGAGAGTATCTTGTTGAGGTTGACTACTTGTATTTGTGTACAGTACATACTTTTTCTAAATTGTCACATGATACTTTGCTGTTTGGAGTTGCAACCAGCAGCTAAATGGCATTGTTTTGATTGAAAAACTTCAAATTTGGCCTTAAGTGTCAGGAATGAGCTAGGAATGTGCGATATATACAGTACACGGTAGAAACGGTAGACATTTAGCCTACGATAGAGATCTGTCTTCTACCGGCTAACCGCAGTAATGCTGTGTCTGATGTAAAATCAGAGTTGTTAGATTTAATTACTTTTTTTTTTTGTTGAAAACTGTGCGTAAGAGGTGTTAAAGTCATTTCTTTGACAGCTAAGTAGCAAAGCTACAAGCTAACTATGGCCGGCTTGCCGTAGTGTTGCCGTATTCGGACACATGCGCAAAACGCTGTGTTCCGTCAAAAGTTCATTTTATTTTTTTCCCCCGTCTAAAGTTAAAGTAAGCGTTGGTTAGCTTTAGAGAAACCTGCTCTCTGATGTATGAAAAGAACGCTGTGTTGTGTGATTTTACTGCGAGACCCTCTGGTCAAAGCCACAGAGGAAACTGGTCACCATTTTTTGTCAGCGCTCCATTCCAGCGGAAGGAGACGCCCACTAGAGGGTTGGAGGGTGAAGTGATTCAGCGTGCACTTGCTGCTCTGTTGCTGTTCATTTCTTAAGTGAGAAGACTGGAAACTGTTAAGAGTTAACAACATATTCTTTTGTTTGAAACAAATGGCTAAAACTACATTTGCTGTCTTTTGCACTGTTTTGCACTACAAGAAAGAAGCATAATATTTGATTTGCTTTTTATTTAAAAACTCTGGACCAGTGGTGGAATTTTCTTAATTGAGATTATTTTGTGGTGTAGCAGTTTTCAAAATAAATTATGGCAAAAGGACACCCTATGCTTTTTTCATTCCTATTGCGAGTTTTACACCAAAAATATATTGTGATATCTATATGGTTATCGCCACCCTTCACAATACATATCGTGATATGAATTATATGCCATATCGCACATCCCTAGAATGAGCTCAAATCCTCTTTCAGTTTTGGTCATTGGTTGTTCCTAAAAGGTTTTGTTTGTTTGATTATAGCCTGTCATTGCAGAAGTTGTACATGCCCTCATACCATTGAAGGTCACTTGCCTCCATACTCCATTGAATATGGGTGTACTGGGTTTGGCCTCATTGTTTGAGATTCCCATATTTCTGAGGTATTGTCTTTTTGCCAGTCAGGTGATCATCAATGTTTTTTTCTTTCTTTTTGCTCTTCCTATCTGTGTGATTAATTTGACAGCTCAGAGTTTTAGCTGCCAATGTGGGTGTCTCGATCTTATCACCTGTGGGCTGTTTTCACTCCCCTTTTTTTGCAAAGCGTTCCAAACACATTCTTCTCAAACAACCCCCATCATGTCCTGAAACAACAAAGAGAGTCAGCTGCTTAAGCTGTTAAAGCTAGCGGTTTATAGCCTCGGTAATTGTCTATATCCTGTGACCCTTATGTTAAGCTAAATAATTTCCTGGACCTTTTAATAGATGGTATCATTTGGGGTTATGGCTCGTTGTTGGATATAGCCTCTATGGATGTTTAGCAATGACAGCTGGTCGAGTTTTAGGTTACAAGCCCATCTTACCTCTGACCAACTCTGGCGAGCTGAATAAAGCTTGGGTTTTGCTTCTATATCCTTTTTGGAAATTGTTGGTTGTGATCAATGTGGTTTACAGAAGATAATAAATGTGGTACATGACAAGTAAGGATAAAATGTTTTTTTTTTATTTCTGTTTTGTTATTACTTAGTGCAAATTCTACGACCCAGTTTCTGCTGGTTTGGGAGCCATTTGTGTCATTACTTATTTTGTGTTGTATAAGTCGCAGATTTTTGCATAAATTAGCTTGCCTGCGACTTGTACGACAAAGCAACGTATTTGTTCCCCCCCCCCCCCCCCATATTTATAACGCAATTTTTGGCTGAGATCTGACGATGTCATTCATTTTGACATGGAAAATATTGAACATTACCATTTTCATCCACTAAAGGATCCTCGACTAATATGGCAAGCCAAGTGTCTCATTAATAGGTAAAAGTGGCTATTAATGAGACACTTGGCTTGCCATAAAAGCCACCTTCGTCTTGCTCTGGAACTCTTGGAGCAAATGTCAAATCGGCTGCATTTCGCCGCACTGCCCAGGCGAAATGCAGCCGATTTGACCATTAAAGTTGTTTTATTAAGGAAAAGTTAAATTGAGACATCCTGGATTCTACCTGGATTATTGAGCATGCGTCAGGATATGTTAAATTGAGACACACCTTTACTATAATTTCGAGCAAACAAATAAGTGTTAATCTTGTTAAATTCTTGGCAAAGTCCTCTCGTGCACGCTCCCGTGGCCGCCATTTAGCAGCCATTCGATTTTTGGCACAACGCCGGCCCACATTTCCAGGTTCCAGGTCGTCAGCGGTGACTCATAATATATGCGACGTATATGGCGAAGCAACATATTTGTTTTTTTCCACTTTATTAGACATATTTGGACTGATGCAACTTTTTTTTTTTTCATTTAGCCTTTATTTATATTTATACAGGTAGT